GTAGAGAGTCAGTGTTAATATCAATTTTCTTCATACAGAGCTACATTACAAAAAAGAGAAAGAATTAGTACAGCTAAGGAATAGCCAACCTGCAAACAATGAAGGGAAGGATTTAGATCAAGTTTGTGAGTGCCAGCAGAGACGTAAATTAGCTACATTGAAGGAGTCAGCTAAAGAAGCTCTACAGTTTGCTGGCTCGTACAATCTTGATGTAACATCAATTTCATTTGAGAAACGGCAGCTGCATTATGATCCAGTTATATTTAACTATTCACCTACTCACCCATCATCATCTACCTCCCTGTCTCCATTGCCAACACCAGTTTCTTTGTCAACTTCTTCATTCTCTGCTCTAACAATTGAAATTGAATTGGCATCATCATCTCAAGCCTCTAGTCAACAATCAAGCAACCCACCTGATTCACCTTTATCTGTACAACAAATTCTCTATCCTTTAGATTCTTATGGCGTATCGGATGATTTTTACAACAAGTTGTCCACGCTCCAAAAGTCTCTTTCCCGATCATATACAGTAAAACGTTTCCAAAAAAGTCTTTTATCAGCTGTTAATATTCAAAAGCTACCTCAAGGATGGTATGTTCCATTTCACAATTACCTGCAGTTGTCATTATCTTGATTATTGGACTGTGGGCATCATATACAGTCACCTATTGAAGTAAAAATGTCTGGTGAAGGAGCATCATTTTACCGTTCATCTTCATTTCTACCTTTATCGTTTTCATTTCCTCTATTTGACCCCAAGTCGTCCTCTACAGCTGGTATGAAACATTATCATCCGTATTCTTTTTAATTTCTGTAGGCACACACACACTCTGGCAGTAATAAAGGGATAAGATAAATATGATGCAATAAGGAATGGATTTTCACTTGTCATTAAGGAAATCAATGAAATGGTCACTGGCTTCAATTAAGTCCTGTGCTAAGTCTAAGTCTATGGGCATCCTTCGAGAACCTTTATTTGAAATAGAACTAGAACAGGTTGCCAACATAGCATAAAATTATTTGTACATAATTATAATATTACTAACTTTTACAGGTTGTAATTGATGAGTTACATTTGTTGTTAAGAATTTCGCACGTATTAATTAGAAATCTATTAGGAATTGGTCAGGTGCTAGACTTGAAAGACATGACTACAAAGAATAGCACCAGATATGTCGACATAATATGTAACTTAATTCGATCCTGTGGAATAATGTTCCATGTAAAAAACCATTAAATTTCAGACATGATTAGCACTAATTTTATATTACAGGTATGGAAGTCTAAAACAAAGAAGGACGAGTTGGATTGGACATCATTACGTGGTAGTGACCGTAAAAAGCTCTTAAACAAACTGCCAGCAAAACTGGTAAATGTATTTCCTAATGAGCTTGTTTGGCAGTTGATGAAACAATGGCTGGTTAGCATTATTTTTATTATAACTTATATTGGAAGTATGATACAGGATTTTAAAGTCATTTATGAGATGATTGGCATCTCAAATCCAATTGGTGATGAAATTCATACAGTACACAGCAAAGTACAATTTAACCATCATATCATCTGTTTACATTAAACAGGCCCTACAGTGGATACAGGACTTCTTAAAGTTCCCATATGATGGTTACGGCAAGTCAAATGTTACCCAGTACATGCACGTTATGGGCTATCACATACCTCATTTAATGAAATGCCATGCTGGTATCAAACGATTTAGCAGTCAAGGTACATAGACTCTCTACTGACATCTACTTAAATCACCATGTAGGAGATGAGAAGAATAATGACTGTGCTAGGAAACATTTCTTCTCTAGCAACCACCAAGATCCTGCCAGAGAAATCTCATTAACAGACGGTCGAGTGGAAGAACTGCAACATGGCAAAAGAGCAAAGAGGAAATATGAAAAGAAAGACACATACTGGGACCTTGGTATCAGAGAAAAGAGAAGAAAAATAAAATTCGAGCCTGAGCAAGACCTCGAGCCAGACACATTTTAATAGGGTGGTCCATTAGTTTTATTACACATTATTATGTAGCATGAATATAAGTATAATAATTATGAATTATTGTTACAGTATTATGTAAATCAAATTAATATGGCCTAGGCATGCAGTCATGACTGAAATGATTTGATAAAATAGTCAGAAAAAGAATCTCGTTGAAGCCTCTGGTTCTGGGTGTCTTGTCACAGTAGAATGACTTTTGATAGTATGATACGTGGCTGTACATATAAATTGGAAATTCTACACAGCAACCTTCTCCAAACTTATTGTAGATATTAAAGAAACTATCCTCAAAGTACATAGAAAGCAACCAATATAGACAGCCCGATGGCAGAGTCCGCAGCTACTACTGTAATGATGGCAATCTCCCATATCATCCCCGTCATCTCATCGAATGCCGATGAAATCAATATCATCAACAGCACTACAGCCAAAAACATCAATGCCATCGACATTAACATTATTATAAAGCTGTTTCGATTCAATATAACCCTGAGCACTCCTAATACAAATATAAGTATCGCCCCTATATATATTACACTCATGATTACATGGGAGGAATTGAGCCCTCATACTCCGTTCCGAAGACGGACATTTTTCCTTTAAATTACAGACAATACCGGTGGGTATCTGCCCGCTTTAACAAATTGCACCACGATATCTACACATTTAATTCCTTGTATAGATCCCTCCGGTTTCCAAATTTAGTGACTCCTGTTTCGCAGCCTTCGGCTTCACCTAGGCGCGATGCCGTCTTAGTCACAAACGTAGGAGTGACCATAATTCTTTTAATGGCCGGAACACCCTTGTGCCTGGCTTCTCCCTTTAGTTGCCTTCAGGGATTATCCTCCCAATCGTAACTACCCTGAAAGCTCACCTGACCATTGCCAAAGGCAATGAGGGGGTTGCTGCCCACAGGTACACCATTGGATGGCCGCTTATACCCAATCCTTTTGTACAAAGGACTGTGATGGAAAATCAGCTTTGACATAACTTTCCAGGCTTACACTTAGCTTCTCCTTTGTCATTAAAAAGGTAGGTAAAAGTGTGACGATGAAACGGTATTGACATTTTACGTGTACGGAAGATTCCAGATTTTAAACTAAATTGTAATGAAGATTGTAGCGTACTAATATCATCCATCATTACTCTCCTGCATGGATCTGGGTTATGATAATAAATGAACCGTCAGTCCAGCATTGTAAAAAAATAGCTTTAACGAACGATCACTCTACCTTATTGCCGTGGCAGTAATATCTTCAGCTGGCACCCAAGTAGCTTCCTCTTTTGAATGCCCCTTCCAAAGAACTAAATACACTTCATGGCCCTGTGAGTTAAATTAAGTCTCAGTCTTTCAAAAAAACTGTCTGATACATACCTTCCTAACTCTCTTGTCCATTAACCTCTCCACTTCATATACATCAGTTTCATTACCACTAACTACCAAACATTGATAATTTTTTTCAACAAATTCTTCCTTTTGATGTAGCTCCTTGTAGAAACGAGCAGTGACAGTTTGTTTGAATTTACACACAATTTTGTTACCGTGGTAATGCATATGAATATTATTATTATTAATCAATGAATAAAATTATTTATGTATGAATATAATTATTGAATGCTATGAATATAATTATTAAGAAATATCCACACAGCCCATTGCAATTTCTGGACATGAGATAAGCTGTTGTAGAGTAGACTCCATGAGAGAATCCAAATTGGCTAGTAGATATATATATAAAAGGTGAAACTTAGTCAGTGATGTAGTCATAAATTAGCTTCTGTAGGACCAAAGAGACATATCAAAGGAGAGATAAAGGCCTGTAATTTGACACAATAGATTTTTCACCTGACTTGTGAAATGGAGTCACACGGTGAACTTTCCACTTAGATGGGTGCATGAATTAACAACTGAAGCATAGAAGAGATGGCACAGAGGTTCACAAAGAGTGGCAACATCAATCTTGACAACTGTAGGTCCCATACCATCAGCACCAATAGCTGTAGTGGGATCCAAATTAGTGAGAGCTTTAAAAACATTAAATTGGAAGAAAATGATAGTATAAAGACCACAGTCATGATGTACCTGCTTAGAAAGAGAAAAAAGAAAGGAACAGGGGGAGTAAACACAGAAAAAAGTAATTTTAAATAGGTCAGCTTGTTCTTCGTAGGGAAAGGCAGACTGAGGACCCCTAGAGAAAACAGGAGGTGTGACAGACTGCTAATGATATATCTAATATAAACATATATACAGGCATTAGATTTTTTCATAAACAATTAATTAATTAGGAGATGTATTGTAAGCACCCAACCAACAAAGACGGTGGAAAAAGTGGATCTTCTAAAAGAGCCTTGCAGTTATCAGAAGAAGGCCCTCAACTCCCAAGAATGGTGGAGGTTAACCTGGAACTAAGACTAAGATTCCTAAAACTCCTACTAGTCATGCTGCATGTAATCCAGTGCTAGTCCACTTAGTCCGTTCTTCAACTGAGGACGTTGAACTCATGGTCGAGTGTGAGTCCTGTTCAAAGTGGTCTCATTCCAAGTGTGTCCGCATAACACAGTCTACTGTTCTCTCTTTTCCTTTTGTCTTCTCTTCTGTGTCAAGTTGCTCCTTTCCAGATAAGCTGCTGTGGAACTGGAGATAGAGGCTCTTCGTAAACAATTATTCACTATTGAGTCTGGTGGTTAACAATGTCAGGCTTACGATGCTGAAATAGACAGGCTTAACAATTCACTCTAACAGGCGTCCCTCCACAGACGTTTTCCTCCTCCTGGAGAGTCTGATCCCCATGATGCCTCTAGCAACAACAGCAGCAATATGGACTCAAAACAAAATTCTAGAAACAACCTGTGCATGCTAGAAAAGAAAGTGCAGGTACAATATTGTTTTGGGTGTTCGTGAGTAATCCCAGGGTGTTCCATTTGTTGGCTGTATCAACGCCAATATTGAGGCTGTGACTGCCCCTTCATTTGATACAAGAGAGACAGCTAGGTCGTTATGCACCTGATTCACGTAAACCAAGACCCCTCCTAGTGGTGCTAAACTCCACAGTCAAGATATCAAATATCCTCTCAAGATGCTCTCTTCTACCTGATTTCACTTTAAATGAACGTCGTATCCGTGGTATCTTACTGAAGGAGAGGTGTTGCCTTATTGACGGTGGAGTTTCAAGAGACATTATTAAAATAAGAGGTCAAGAAGTAAGACGTAAGACAGGACATAAGTGGTTCATTTGATGGTAATGTAATAGATAATGCTCTTATTGGTAATGTTGCAGATAATGCCTTTGTTTTGAATGAATGTCTGAGGACATTAGCACCTCAGTTTCATGATTTTTCATCACTAATACTCCTACTGACTCTACCCCTCCTGCTTTGCCTCTAAATGCAGACTGTTCCTCTTCATCAGCCTCAACCAGTCACTCTTCACAGTTTTCTCAATCTACCTCTACTCCCTCTTCCTGACTAGCCCAGGAAGGAGTTTCTTTGTCCCTCTGGAATGCATGTCGCATAATGAACAAGCTATACCTGTTCTTATCTTTCATTTATTTGTCCCATATTTGCATTTTTGCCATAACTGACACCTGGTTAAATGACTCAGTGTGCAATAGTAAAATCATCTTGTCTCATATCATTTTTAGATGTGACCGCTCTACTAAAGGTGGGGGGTGTTGCTTGCAGTTGACTCTTCTATACCAACGTCTCCTTTGTCCTCTGCTCCCACTCTAGAAGTTGTTTGTGCTAAACTCCTTCTAAAGCATAATATATATGTCTAGTGCATACCGTTGGATGATTAATTTTTGCTAAAATGCTAATG